TATATACAAATGAAAGTCTCTGTATGACATGAAAACTAATTTCTTGGGTGTCTTTATACTGAAAGAACTAGAACTGTACTCTTGTATGGCACATGGGAAATACTAATGACAGAGAGGAGCAAGGATGACACATTTAACTTCAAAACTTTTTGTCAAATGAACTCCGTGGCTTACCCCACCTGCCAGTCTGCTTTTAGAGTAATTACCATATCTATGTTACCGAGCAGAAACTGTATGTAAATTATAATCATAACTAGAAAATTCTAGTGACTTTAATTTCTTTGACTCCCCCTTTACTTCTTATCTATGAAACACTATAATTTGTTCAATTTAAACTTTTGAAAGAGTTCACAATGTACATGGATAAATATTTAAAATAAAAGAATGTAATAAAATTTGCTACTCTCCCTTGGGCTATTATAAAGACATTTTAAAATTACCTATGATTTGTCCAAGCCCTAAGATCATATTTCATGCTTTTACTACAGGTAATCTTTACTGACAGAATGCAGAAAATAGTCCTTTCTTTCTTTTTATGTGTCAGTTATTAAATAATGCTGAAGAGAAAAAGATTTTGTGGAACATGGCTTCAGGGGTAAAGTAAGGATAAAAAGCTTTGCAAATAAGTCTACATTCTGCAAGATGTGCACAATATGCAATAATTTAATATTGAAGGAGTTGAAAAAAGTTTGGATTTCTTTATTATATTTTTATTGATTTTGGAGAAGAAGGGAGAGGGAGAGATAGATAGAAACATCAATGATGAAAAATCATCAATCAGTTGCCTCCTGCATGCCCCTTACTGGGGCTCAAGCCCACAACCCGGGCATGTGCCCTTGACTGGAATCAAACCCTGGACCCTTCAGTCTGCAGGCCAATGCTCTATCCACTGAGCCAATTCAGCTAGGGCTGGATTTCTTTTTATGCTTTGATAAAAGTATGAAAAAGATTAATATCTATGACATATGTTCATGCAAGTTACAGTCTATTTCAGCTTGTTTACCTAATGTGCAAGTATATTGTAGATGAAATATCAACTGCTGTAGCCTACAAATACTCATTTTGATATGTAAGAATCTAATAAATAATTGTGTGTATTATGCTACACATTAATATATATCTGATCTTTAGTAAAAGAGTGAAGCACTAGAAATTTAATAGCTTGCCTTATTCATTTTAATGGTTGTGAGTACATATATACTGTACTCTCCACTTGGAGCAAGAATCTTATGCTGAAGATGCACAACACTCAATAATAGAAAGGACATCTGATGTAAAAGAAAGGTATAGAAAATGTTGACTGTAGCTTTAAATAAAATTTCTCTAGTTTTTTTTCTTCTTAAGCATCTCCTTCTGTCTTGTTCGACATCTACTATTGCCCATCTGCTTATTGATTGGTAGGAAATTCCAAATGGGAATTTTATCTCATTAATCTTGTCATATCACAGGGATTGGGACAAAAAAACCCTTTAAGCTTCACAGCAAACATCTACTGTTCAGTAAGACAAATGAACAAATATAATATGGATAGAATATCTTCACACTAATTAAAGGTCAGCTAGTGTAAAATTTTGCACAAAATTGATTATATTATGCTCTAACCAGTTTTCTCTCTATATATAACAAATAAATAATATGAGAATATTCTATCATTTCAACTCTCTGTTATTTTGTCAAACCCCAGAAATATGACTATTACAAATCTATGCAAAAATCAAGAGACAATATATGTTTTAAATAGCACAACATCACATTAAATTAAGCATGCAGCATAGCAAATGAAATTGCAATACTTTTGTATTTAGTTTTGCACATATTTCAAATAAGAAGACACATTCATAAATTCAGAAGATGGAAACCATATTCAAGCATACCAAAACTAAAGTTATAACATTTATATGTTGACAAGTGCCACTTAGCATGTTATTCATATGAAAGTCTACAATCTATAGACTTAAGTCTAATTTCAAACCATGAGAAGAACACTTGTCTACTCATTGTTAATCATCCTAGCTATTTAGTGTCACCAAGAATTAAGACAGGTATCCTCTGATTCTTCCATTAGTATTTCACAGACATCTATGACATATAGTTAGTGATTTCACAACTACTTCACAACTGTCTTCATTTCCTCTTATATTCTCAATGCCTTACTAAGCTGGTCTGAGGCCTGGATTAATTTAATGTTCTCCCTTAATCTACTGCTATCATTATCAACCACATTCAGATGTAAGAAAGGTATGTATAAAAACTTATGTAAAAACTAGAGGCCCGGTGCACAAAATTCGTGCACTGGGGGGTGGGGTTCCCTCAGCCCAGCCTGCCCCTCTCACAGTCCGGGAGCCTTCAGTGGATGTCCTACTGATGGCCACAGTCTGGCAGCAGAGGCTCGGAGCAGGCGTCCCGTGTGTGTGTGTGTGTGTGTGTGTGTGTGTCTGCTGGGGGCCTGCCCCCAGCCACACCGTGGAGGCTTGGAGCAGGCACCCCTCTGTGTTGATCTCTCAGGCTCCTGGCCTCCACTGCGTGTTGTTCTCTCCCTTGAGCTGTGGCCAGGGTAGGGTGCTGCCTGCAGGCCGTGCTTTCCTGCTCATGGATGGCTGGATCGCAGCAGAGATCCAGGAGCATGCCCAACTGAGGGCTGCCTGCTGGCCACACTTTCCTGCTCTGGGATCGCCATGGTGACCCAGGAGCATGCCCACCTGGGGGCTGCCTGCAGGCTGCACTTTCCAGCTCTGGGATCTCCATAGCGACCCAGGAGCAGGCCCTCCTGGGTGCTGCCTGCAAGCTGCACTTTCCTGCTCTGAGATTGCCATGGTGACCGAAGAGCATGCCCACCTGGGGGCTGCCTGCTGGCCGCACTTTCCTGCTCTGGGATCGCCAGGGTGACCCAGGAGCAGGCCTTTCTGGGTGCTGCCTACAGGTCGCACTTCCCTCTCACAGATCCCTGGATCACCATGGCGACCCGGGGGCCAGGCCCTGCTGGGTGCTGCCTGCGGGCAGCACTTTCCTGCTCTTCGATCGCCATGGGGTCCCAGCTGGGGGCGGGGCTTAGGCGGCATATGGGGGTCCCAGCTGGGGGCGGGGCTTAGGCAGTGCAATCAAACCGCCTAAGCCCCGCTGCCCAGGGCCACACACTGGGCCCAGATGGCGGCTTGGATTGTCCCGCACTGCCTGCAGTATGCAAATTAGCCACCATCTTTGTTGGCAGTTAATTTGCATATTGCTCTGATTAGCCAATGAGAGGTGTAGCGAAGGTACGGTCAATTACCATCTTTGTCTATTATTAGATAGGATACTCTAAATATAATTTAGGCCCTATTTGTTAACACTTTCTGGCCACTACAGTAATACTAGACATGCTATAGCAGTTTTGCTATGTGATACATTATGTTGCATATGCACTGATTTAAAGGCATTCTATGAGGAAAAAGGAAAAGTGGAGTAAGAAATACATTGGACAAAATGCTCAAAATGTTGGACAAAAACCTGGAACACCAGCAGAAATAAGGAAAATGTACCTTATAGTTTGACCACTTCCCAATCCCAAATGAGCATACTTCGTTTATGCTTTCAAACACACACACACACACTCACACACTGTGGTAGACAGAATTTTAAGATGACCACTAAGATAATTGTCCTCCTTTTGTATACATGTGTGTGTGTGTGTGTCTGCTGGGGGCCTGCCCCCAGCCACACCGTGGAGGCTTGGAGCAGGCACCCCTCTGTGTTGATCTCTCAGGCTCCTGGCCTCCACTGCGTGTTGTTCTCTCCCTTGAGCTGTGGCCAGGGTAGGGTGCTGCCTGCAGGCCGTGCTTTCCTGCTCATGGATGGCTGGATCGCAGCAGAGATCCAGGAGCATGCCCAACTGAGGGCTGCCTGCTGGCCACACTTTCCTGCTCTGGGATCGCCATGGTGACCCAGGAGCATGCCCACCTGGGGGCTGCCTGCAGGCTGCACTTTCCAGCTCTGGGATCTCCATAGCGACCCAGGAGCAGGCCCTCCTGGGTGCTGCCTGCAAGCTGCACTTTCCTGCTCTGAGATTGCCATGGTGACCGAAGAGCATGCCCACCTGGGGGCTGCCTGCTGGCCGCACTTTCCTGCTCTGGGATCGCCAGGGTGACCCAGGAGCAGGCCTTTCTGGGTGCTGCCTACAGGTCGCACTTCCCTCTCACAGATCCCTGGATCACCATGGCGACCCGGGGGCCAGGCCCTGCTGGGTGCTGCCTGCGGGCAGCACTTTCCTGCTCTTCGATCGCCATGGGGTCCCAGCTGGGGGCGGGGCTTAGGCGGCATATGGGGGTCCCAGCTGGGGGCGGGGCTTAGGCAGTGCAATCAAACCGCCTAAGCCCCGCTGCCCAGGGCCACACACTGGGCCCAGATGGCGGCTTGGATTGTCCCGCACTGCCTGCAGTATGCAAATTAGCCACCATCTTTGTTGGCAGTTAATTTGCATATTGCTCTGATTAGCCAATGAGAGGTGTAGCGAAGGTACGGTCAATTACCATCTTTGTCTATTATTAGATAGGATACTCTAAATATAATTTAGGCCCTATTTGTTAACACTTTCTGGCCACTACAGTAATACTAGACATGCTATAGCAGTTTTGCTATGTGATACATTATGTTGCATATGCACTGATTTAAAGGCATTCTATGAGGAAAAAGGAAAAGTGGAGTAAGAAATACATTGGACAAAATGCTCAAAATGTTGGACAAAAACCTGGAACACCAGCAGAAATAAGGAAAATGTACCTTATAGTTTGACCACTTCCCAATCCCAAATGAGCATACTTCGTTTATGCTTTCAAACACACACACACACACTCACACACTGTGGTAGACAGAATTTTAAGATGACCACTAAGATAATTGTCCTCCTTTTGTATACATTTTGTTAAATCCTCTCCCCTTGAGTGTGGGTGGGAGATTAATGTAATGAGTTATCATTGTATTGATTGTGTTATTTTGCATTGAAAAGGATTTTGAACATATGATTAATGTTTCTAATCAGTTGACTTTGTTTATATTTTATTTTTAAAAAAAATTTATTTTTGAGAGTATTGCAGATGTCCCTTTCCCCCCTGCTTTAAGCCCCTCCACCTAGTCCACACCCTACTCCAAGCCTTCACCACCCTATGGTCTGTGTCCATAAGTAATGCATATCCTATATAATAAAGAGGTAATATGCAAATTGACCCTCACTCTGTCACACCATCACAAGATGACTGCGCCCACAGTGGGAGGCGGGGTTCCCGTAACAAGCCATAACAAGCAATCAGCAGGGACCTGAGGCTGCGTGGCACTGGGCCCGGGTACCTCACTCATTTGTGGAATATAATGAGCAACATAAACTGATGAACAAAAACAGATCCAGAGACAGATAATCATTGATCAGACCATCAAACCTCAGAGGGAAGGTAGGGGAGGGTGGGAGTAAGGGAGAGAGATCAACCAAAGGACTTGTATGCATGTATATAAGCCTAACCAATAGACACAGACACCAGGGGGTGAGGGCATGAGTGGGGGGTGAGGGGCAATGGGGGGATAAAGACACATATGTAATACCTTAATCAATCAATAAAAAAAATTAAAGAAACCAGCCTTTAGGATTTGTGAGAAATAAAAAGGGCTTTCAGGAAAACCCTAGGTAAATTGTTTTCCTTCCAAGTGAGGGCAAAAAAGGTATTGGCTAGCTTCACTAACTCAAATGTTAAATACAAATGGTGATGGAAGAAGTCTTCACTTGGGTAGTAAACACACATTACAATATACAGATGATGTATTGTAGAATTGTACACCTGAAACCTATATAATTTTATTAACCAATGTCAGCTCAATAAATTCAATTAAAATTAAAAAATATATACTGCATAAATCAATTACATAAAGAATTTACTTCCTGTTGAGATAAATATTAGTAACATATGAGGGTTTTAAACAACAGGGTGTCACAGGATAATAATGTTTGTTTATTGCTCAGAGGTTCTGGGCAAACCTCTTCCTTAGTCCTTTGATTTTTTTCCACAGGTAAAATGCTAGTGTTACATGGAGCTTTGGGAATAAAGCTCTGAGTTACATAATCTTCTATTATTGGCTTTGTACCTTAAAGGTCCTTTTTATATATGGGATATTGATTAATTCTGGGAAGGGGTTTTGACAGCTCTATTTCAATCTTAAGAGATGCACTCTGGATTATACTTCCAGATTCAATTATAGTGCCATCAGAAATGGGACACATAAAATATGCTGAAGGACCTGATAGTTTATTTATAGTTATTGTCAAATGCTAGGATTATTTTCCCTTTGGAGAGAAAGAAATTCGACATGATATTTCTCAAGGATATCTTGACCTAATAAATGAATAGAGGTGGAAGAACTAAAGAGAAAAGGGTGTGAATTCTTTAAAGTGCCTAATAAAAAAGGGATAGGTTCAGAGACAGAAACTTGTTGAGGTTTGTTTGAAATACCCACTCTTTGAACCACTTTATTACTTCAAGGCTAGGGCTGCTTTATAGCAGTGGGATTGAGCACTGAGATTATTGCTCTAGTGTCAATAAGAACAGAGAGAGATTAATTTCCAATTTGAAGAAAAATTTCTCCAAGCCAGTAAAGATGTGTAATTGGGAAAAGCCCCTGTATTTCCTTTGAGTCCCATCACTGAGAATTAGGAGGATCTTGAGAAGGATGATTCGAAGGCTGACAGTGGTGCCTGAAGTGCTTTAATTTGCAACATTTTTTCCAATGTCCAGGTTATTTGAAATAATGGCAGAATCTAGGAACGTCTGCCCCACGGGCTTTATAAGGCAATAGGGGCGAGTTAATTAAACATTTGACCAAATATAGTAGGCTAATTTTTAGGTTGATAATTTTGTATGACCCCTAAATAATGTTATAAATATCCAAATGGCCCTTGGCAGCAAAAAGGTTCCCTATCCCTGATCTAGAGCATGAGCAAAGTTATTAAGCAAAATATCTAAATCTAGAATGGACATAGTTTCCATTTCATCCTGATCCTTTTAATTAAAAGAGAAAGATATTAGTACAGCCTGTTAAACAATGAAATGTTAAAGACTACCTGAGTGAAACCAACATCAGAAGGAAGACCAGAATTTTTTTAAATTTTATTTTATTGTTTAAAGTATTACAAATAGTAGTAC